TTTTCAGACTGTGCCGATCCCGATCTCACTGGGACGTTACCGATCTGTTGAAAACCCTTGTCGTCATCCAGATCAACAAGAGACAAGGTCGCCAATGCATTCGAAGTACTACCAAAATCCATGGAAAAAACACGAAGGAAAGACACGCAGAAGGCTCTCAAACTGATAAGGAGAAGAAACTCGCGAAAAGAGCGGGAGAGAATTTTTAATCTAATTTTCCTCAAGAAGAATTTTGTTGCATTATATATTTATTCCAACATATCACCCATAATCAAATGGTCGCACTTGCCTCTTTGAAGAAAGCTAAGTCTTCCAACTTCAAGGACTCTAAGGGCCTTTGGTTCACGGAATCTTAGATTACCCCAGGTAATAGGATTACCTCCTAGAAGGTAATGTGAAATTTGGGGAATGTAAGGTTACCATCTATGTTTGGTTTGGATGGTGTAATATAATATTACCTTGTTTGGTTCAAGTTATATTTTAAGTTATATGAATTAATTTACAATAATGTCCTCAGTAATATATATATATATATATATATATATATATATATATATATATATATATATATATAATGTCTGTGTATTTATTTATATCTATGAATGTATATAAAAGCTTAAATGTTAAGAAAAAAACTAAATATATAAATATACACATATATATATATTTGATTATATAAATATATATTAATTTTATTATTATTAATTTTATTATTATTATTATTATTATTATTATTATTATTATTATTATTATTATTATTATTATTATTATTATTATATAAGGATTAGTTAACAACGGCAAAGTTGGAATAATTCAAGGTAATCTAAGATTACCAAAAAAAATGGGAGTAATTACATTACTTTGAAACATTACCACCACATCAGCTTTCAGGTAATATAACATTATCTGGTAATCCCATGACTTGAACCAAACAAGGTAATATAACATTACCAGATCCAGATTACCTAGGTAATCTAAGGGGCATCCTGTGATGAAATCACCTTCCAACTATTCCCATCATTAATAGAGACAAGTTCTTAGGTTAAATTTATCCTTGAAATTTGCAACATCCAAAAAAAAAATAAAAAAATTATCCTTTGAAATTTGAGTATTTGCAAGGTGACATGGCACATCAGAAAGTAATTTTATTTTGAATTAATAACCGATTTGGTCCTCTGACTATTGTAAAATTACCGATTTGGTCCCCGACTATAATTCTTATCCAATTAAGTCCTCAACTATTAAAATATTAATTGATTTAGTCCTCCGTTAAAATTCCATCCATGAGCTGTTAAATTTAAGGGCAAAAAGATAATTTTGCATTCCTCTTTTCTTCTTCAACGCATCCCGGTCATCCCTCCCATCGCTGCAGCTGGAAAAATGGTGGACATCGGAGTGTAATGATGGAATAGCAGCCACCATTCACCAACTCCAACTGAATTCAATAGTGATTAACAATAGTTTATATGAAGATTTTGGTTCTCTAAATTGTTATTCATACTCACCTGACTTCATTTTCATACGCTGATGAATGATGATGGTTTAAAGCAACTTCCATTCCCGTTCGGCTTCTCATCCGGCTGTGAAATCCCTCTAAATTGCATCTCCGACGAAGCTATGTCCATCGGCGACGAATTCCCGGTCTACCAGCTAACTCCCGACACTATAGTGATCAATATTCCGGTGAAATGCGGGCGCCGGATTGAAGCCATGAAGCCTCTGTTCGGCAAGAACTTTGCGCCCACGTCCAACAACGGGATTCTTTTGCAGAAGCGTAGCTCGTCGGAGCTGAAGTGTATGATCCCTTCAACCATGATCCAGACGCATGCACTTCAAGCCCCAGGGTTGTGGGAAGAACAATATCACCTCTTCCCCGTCATCATCTCCTCCGCCGCCATGCGGCGGCGGTTTCTTTTGCCTATCTAATGTCGGTTTTGATTGTGGCACAGTTTTAGTTTGTGTTCTCTTGTATGGTGGCGCTACAGTCATGAGTTTTATGATGTTTGGTCCAGACTCATTGTCACAGATTACTTTGAATATGCCAAAAGATTTAGCTAGTTTTAAAGTTGCAGTATGGACAACAGTGAGTACTATTTGATCTGGTTTTTTCCTTAGTTCCAAGATTTACTTTCTTTTTAATCCCCGTTAGTTTTTGTGTGTTGATAGAATGATTGAATGAGACTTGGCTTTGGTGCAGGAAGTGATAATGCCATCTCTGTGCTTTCTGAAAGTTTTGGGTGATAAGGAAACAAGTAAAGAAGCTCTCGCCGGAAGAATCCCAGACGCTGGAAAATACACACAACTCGCCAGAAAAGCATCCAATTCCAGAAAATATACATCCTTCAACAATTCAGAGCAAAGAGGAGCGAGCCACCATCTCGCAAAAAACATGAACTGGAAGGTAGGGAACTCGTTGAAGACCAGGATACGTTGAAGAAGAAAAGAGGAATGCGAAATTACCTTTTTACCCTTAAATTTAACAGCTCATGGATGGAATTTTAACGGAGAACTAAATCGAGTAAAATTTTAATAGTTGAGGACTTAATTTGGTAAAGATTATAATCGAGGACCAAATTGGTAGTTTCGTAATAGTCGGAGGACCAAATTGGTTATTAACTCTTTTATTTTTAATGATGACATGACATGGATTGCATGCTTGCAACCCTGTCGTAGCCTTTTGTACTTTTTTTTTTTCAATGTTTTTATTTGTTTTAGGCTTTTAGTTGTTAAAATGACTTTTGATGTGAAAGTTGAACCACTTTTAAAAGTGAGAAAGTATTACCATTTACATAGATGTAGATAAAATAGTAAAGGTATTACAAATTTAGTAATCTGGAAGTAAGACCCATTTTTGAAAATGAAAGCATTGCAAAAATAAAAATAACCTTACTAGACAGAGCTTCCCAATACTAAACTTCACTAAGGCCATCTGCATCCTTGCAATAGCAGAAATTGCAAGATGAGGTGGCAACGTTTTTTTTTTTTTTTTTTTTTTTTTAATTGCCACCTTGCCCAAGCTTTAGTTGTAGTATTTTATTATTATTATTAATTATTAATCTGGAAGTGAGGTGATGGTGGGATTATTTTTTAAAATGAGAGAGAAATGCATAGATGTAGAGTGAATAATAAATAAAAGTTAATTTCATCGGAGGTTCCTTGTCTTTGGTAGCAATTTCAAATTTAGTCCCAGACTATTATTTTTGTCATTTTACATCCCATGTAAAATGACAAAAATGATAGTTTGTGACTAAATTTGAATTGACACCAAAGGCAAAGGTCCTCCTGTAAAATTAACTCTAATAAATAATTAAAAATATAATAATATGACATTTTGAGAGTGAGAAAAAAATTGTACGAGTGAAGATAGCCTAAGAGTCTTTCTTTGTTAGTATCTCACTTCTTGTCTTCTCTTATATTTTGGATTCCTTTCCACGTTTGATCACTCAATTATAATAACATTTTCACTTTTGAATAATTCTAAATACTATTTCAAAAAAAAAAGAATAATTCTAAATACTCAAAATTCTCTTCCTGAAAATTTCACTAAATCTCACCTTATTGAATTTAAAAGCACTTTAAACATTTGAAATTAAAGGTGAAGCACTATTTGAAGTCAATAAATAAAAGTGAAATAATCAAAGTCAGACTAGAAATGAAAAAAATATATATCACCATAATCAAAAGACCAAAAGTGAATTAAATTTTCTTTAGTTCATGCATTTATGGTGTGTTTGGTTCGCACATGAAATCATAATCAGAATGGAAATCAAATATTTGAGTTAATACCATCTGAGGTCCTCTGAGTATAGTGATTTTGCCACGTTTAGTCCTAAACTTTCAAATTGACCATTTGTGGTCCTTAGACATTCAAATTTAACCATTCGTGATCCAAGTTAACCATCCATGGCCCTTCAAGTTTCGAAATTTAACCAGTAGTGGTCCTCATGAAGGGACCATGGATGGTTAAAATTTAATAGTTGAAGGACCATGTGTGGTTAACTTGGACCACGAATGGTTAAGTTTGAAAGTCGAAGGACCATATATGGTCAATTTGAAAGTTTAGGACTAAACATGACAAAACCACTATACTCGGAGGACCTCAGATGGTATTAACTCTCAAATATTTGGTAATAGTATAGTTTTTGGTGAAAGTATTTTACATGTTTGGTAGTATGGTGGAATTGGAATGATTATATTGATGTTTGGTTATGTATGACCATATAATTGGAATATATGTTTTAAAAATACAAAAACAAAAAATCATAGCAATTGATTCTAATACAATTACATCCAAAACACCAATATGAACAAAAAAAAAATAAATTCAAAACAAAAATCTAGAAGCACTAATTCAAACTTAAAAATCGTGTTATCAATAAGATGGAATGATACATTTTTTAATTAGGGAATGTGGCTTTTAATTGAAGGATAATCAAATCCCATAGTTGTGTTTTAAAAAGTTATCAACCAAACACTAACTATGATTTTGATTCTCATTCCTAGTGTGTAAACTCATGAACCGTCCTATTTTACCTGTTTTGTTTACTATTCGATGGTCGAACCGATCCTTTCTTCATTGCTTAATTTCTTTAGTATAATTTTTAATTATTTTTAATTTAATTTTTTTTTGTTTAATAGTACTTTTAATGTAGTTTCTAAATATATAAATTTTATATACTAATATTAAATTTAATATTACAAAAAATTGAATTAAAAATAAATTCAGTAAAGTCTCATTAATCGAATCAGACAAACAAAATAGGACAGAAAGAATAATATTTATTGTAAAGAACAAATTTGTCCTCATATATCAGTATGTCACACAATACACAGAAGACTTGAAATAATCTCCTGTAAGTTCTCCCCTTTCTCATGTAATTTATTTCATGATTATAATTAATAATAATTGGTAAAACATGCTCAACCACTCTCCAAAAGCTTTTTCTTTTTCTTTTTTTTTTTCCAGAAAAAAATAAAAGAAAATAAAATAGTTGCAAAACTTGAGAAAGAAAATTCTAAGGTTCCTGACAAGCTGCTAATTTACACTAATACTTCAGTCCCCATAAAGTTGAATAATGTGTGATAATCCAGAACAGATATGTAAGAAACTAAAGACATTATTCTTACAAAATATTATGAGCTGTACAAGGCTAAGGTGGAGAAACCTCACTGATCTATGTTTAACAAAACAAATATAATGTTGTTCAATGATTCATACCAGGGTTAATTTAATACCTGCCTATTTCAAGATCCAATGGTTCCCAACGGCCCCGCGCTGCTGCCTTCTCTCAGCCCCTGGAGGCAAGCGTGGAGCGTTTTTTGAACGCTATCAGCGACGTGCCTTAGCCTACCTTGGTTTACCTCCCCGCCAGCAGAGCTGTTCACTTCAACGGTCCGAGCCACCCGCTGTTTGCATCTTTCCCACTCGTCGGCTCGCAACCAGCATGCCCTGCCACCGTGGCTCCCTTCCATTCGGAGAAAAGATACACTAGGGTTTTCACCGAATGCATATTTCAATCTCACGGACACGCAATAGGGCAACCAAGCAGCACCGCCAGCGGCGTTGATGTGAGGTATGTGAGTAGGATCGAGGACAACTGTAAGAGCAAAATCAACACAATTATGAGGACGATCATAGTGAATATTGCTCTTGGATGCGTTCGTGCCTTCAGAGCTCCCATCCACGTTACATCCTGTGTGATTCTCGAGACAAAGTTCAATACGGGATTTCTGTGCAGGGACAACATCAGCTCCTTGGACTTGAGCCAACCCTTTCTTCCACGCAATGAGTTTCAAGAATTCTCTTAAAACTGAGATCGGCAAAGTCAACAGAGTAATGAATGAAGCAACACGAGAAGCATCGTAAGGCTCTGATGCAACACGACGGCAGAAGTAGTCACATATCTCTCCGATCTCCGATTGGGTCAGTTCTTCTTGGGCAGCTGCAGGGTTTTGCTGCTGCTGCTGCTGCTGTTGGGAGTGATGAAACTTCTTTACACTGAGGACCTGGAGAAGAAGTTGAACCCTGTGTACGCTAACAGCAAAAACATAGCCCCTGCAGAAGAAAACGAAATTAGAAAAATTACAAGCGCCATATCAGTATATCACAGACCAGCTTATTAAACATCTTAACTTACAACACTACTTCAACCCTCAGTCCTAAAACTTGTCACTAGACTATTAATAAGACTTATGGACCAGATCTAGACAATGCAAGAACCCCATAGCAGTTTCATGCATAAAATAAATTAGCACTTACTAAATGAACATAACAAATAAAAACCAAGCTCTGGTATAAAGGAGTGACAAAATTATCTTAACAGTTCAAATAAAAAGGTAGGGAGATCCATTAGTTTCAAGAAAAGATGTGAATGACAGAAGAAGCAAGCTTCGGAGAAGGTAAAAATACATATCTTCCGGCCATCACCTCCTCTACAGACTATGGCCAAGAGCTTAACAGAATGACAGAAGGAAAATAAAAATAAAAATCCAGACCTAGGCAATCGTCATAACTTATTGAGAGAAGTGACTTTGAAAACGGCAAAGACCAAGCCATTATGCAACAGCTTCAATATATGAAAAACATTGCCAATATTTGTTGAACATGTTAACTTTAGTAGAGAAATAAATTGTATTTCATTTTTTATAATAGTGTGGATGTGATGCATTTTAGGGACACAGATATCACCCAAAAAAAGAGCACCGGCAGTGTTGCAAAAATCGCGCCTAGGCGCCGATTAATCGGCGCCTAGGCGCTAGGCGGTCGGCCACCTAGGCGTCCTAGGCACCCGCCTAGGCGCTCTAGGCGCCGATTAATCGCTCCAGGCGCCCGCCTAGGCGCTCTAGGCGCCCTAGGCAGTCCCCAGGCGCCTAGAGGGCGCCTAGCGATTTTTGCAACCTTGGCACCAGGTGTGGAAGTTGACATTAAATTAGCTAATTTTACTATGATGTATTTGGATTAAACAACTAGTTATTGACTTTCAGTTTATATTAGTAATTAGAATACTTCACCAATTGTTATTAGCCTGTGAGTCATTGTTATCAATCCCTATAAAAGGGAGAATTATTCGGAATAATAAAATCAGAAATTTGATCCCAACAGGGGGCTAGGGAGTTTTGGGTTCAAGCAAACCCAAGTTTATTTTTTCCTTTCTGGCTGCACTTCATTACTGTTCTTCGTTCTGTTTTCTTTTGCATTTTTTAGCCTGTGACGAGAACACATAACAGTATGTGTGCATGTGTGTGTGTGTACTTATATATGTAATATATCTATGTATGCATCAATGTATATATCTGTGCAGTGGTTGACTGACAACTATAGGACTTTGACCACATTGAACCAATATCCTACAGTGGCCTGCTAATGCAAGATTAACAAAAATAAAACAAGGACAGGTGACTGAATCTTGGGAAGGGGAATTGGCATGGTATATTACAACTATAAACAATGGACAATCTTACCCAACAAAGAAACGTAAGGCAGGCTGTTCCTCATCTAAATTCAATAGCGAGCCCTCATTATCCTTCAGAATTGACCTTAAAATCTCTTTGAGAAGATCAGGTAATTGTGCAAATAACCACAGTACTCCAAGATATTTAAGAATGCCTCTAAGAACCTTCTTGAGTGCAACAAGAGGAACCCATCCACCACCATATCCTCCATCATCCCCAAGTCCAATAATTGCAGTGTTGAGTTCCCCCCTCACATGTGCAGGGACACCTGAGCCAGGGGGTCTGCGTAAAGGCATCCCAGGATTCATCCCAAATAAATTTGATGATGCTGGAAGAGCATTACCTACACGATTAAGAGCAGAAACAGTATTTCCTTGACGAGCCATTACGGCAGAATTTGTGAGATTGGGTCTGTTTGCATTGACAGCTGAATGTTGGGGTCCTGTATTCAGATTCGAACTATTTGAATTGGCTAGCCCAACTGCTTGTTGACCACCAGAAAAGTTAGAATCTATACCATTGAGTTCCTGAGCAACATGCTCCATTATGAAGGGTCGAAACTGTGGACAAGGTAGTGACCCCCCCACTGTTGAACCACCTTTAGGTGGAGTAGCTGGTTGCAACCAAACCTGATCTCCAGCAAAACATCTCATATCAACAGCAAAACGTTTCCTATATATGATGCGAATCCAGTAGGGACCACGAAGTACTACAGAGACATCAATCGGTAACAGTGAACTAGGAACAATGCCTGGGCCACCTCTCCCAGCAGCAGTGGCAGCTGCAGCCAACATTGCAGCAGTAGGGTGGTTTGGAGCTCCAAGGGGAACAGAAGTAGTTGGTGCCCCAGGATTGCCTCCAGGACCGGATGAAGGCTGATTAACATTTGCATTTGAGATATTTGGCACATGCCCCTGAGATGACAGATAACCAGCCTGTTTCGAAATAGGAGCAGGTGTTACAATACCAGCAACCCCAGACACAGGAGCAGCTCGTGCAGGTCGTGTTGCACCAGCAAGAGCATGCAAAGGTCCGGCTGTGAGGCGGATGCAATCTAAGAGTGATGAAACCTCAGCTCCATCTATGAAATCTTCGAGAAACTGTCAGTTGAAGAATTACAACAAATTAATTCATTAGGGAAATGGGCGCAATGAAGTATTTAAAAACAACAATATAATGAAAAAGGAATCACTTGACAGAAGTCATCATTGACCAAGAAGCCAATATCATTTAGCTAAAAACAGATTCTTAAAGTAAGGTTTACTCCTATCATTACTGCAATAAATTCCCGGTGAAAAGATAAGACTTATTTTCTAAGTTTACAGCTGTTTCACAATGTAATAAACAGAAGACTGCAAGTTACAGCTAAAGAAAGGACTCAAGTACACTGTTAGTCTTTAGTGAAATCAATGATGAGCAATAGGTTATGGAATATCTTATCCATTTTAAGGATGGAAAACAAACCTTGGTATGTGGCCAAAGTTGGTCAGGTGAAACATGCATTGTGCAGCCTTCTTTACCCGATTCCCATTCAACAACAAAACGAGCAAGAACCCCCTGACCAAAACTAAACCACAGACTCATAAGTCCAACAGCCTCAATTCTAAATGCTCTCCTCATTTGGTCTGAAATCCTATCAACCGAGTCACCAGCACTTTTTAGTCCAGATTGTACTTTACCATCCACATTTGGACTGCTTTCTTCCAACTTTTCATCTGTCCTTGCACCAAGTAACTTCCGCATTCCAAGTGCAAATGCACGAGCATTAGAGAGCCTTTGGATATCAGCCACTAATTTACGGATACTATCAGCCTCAACAGAATGGTAGCTCAAAACAACACCCTCTGAATCATAACGGATATGAGAATCTGCATCAGATGTATTTGCAATTCGAACACCAGAACCCCATGGAGTACTACTGCCACCTTTTTGAAGCTCCCACAGGTCCTGAAAGTGTTGGTCAATGATTTTGACATCCCAATACATGCTTCCAGGCCTCCCAAGCCGCAAGCATATATGTTGCCATGTGTCATCTCTAGCAAAAGGAAGTCGGAACCACAGTTTTGAGGATGCACTTCTAAGACCCACCTCTTCAACATACGGGATTTCAAGTGCATCCATCTGACTAGTAAGTCGGGCATGCTTGATACAAAGTGAGCAATGCCTGATAACGTGAAGAAGGGCAGAAACATATACAGTAGAAGGTGCATTGCCTTTATGAGTTTCATTTAAGAGATCAGCATAACTGTAGCCATCAGTTTTACCAGATATCTCCAAAGAAACTAGCATTTGTGACTGAAGATGATGAGTGCTAGCAGACTCCACAACCTTTCTTCTCTTGTAAGATCCTTCACTGGATTCTTTTCCTTGAAGTGATGGAAGTGAATTTAATAAATCTGAAACTGTACGCTTTCTAGGCATTTTATTTTGTCTAGAAGCTGCATCATGACTTGAATTTGCACATGTAGCAGAAGTGACTTGGGCTGAAACAGCAGGAAGGAAACTTAAGAGTGATTACAAAACACAACAAACAAATAAATATTCATATTCATATTCATATACAAACCAACTTTATCAGAAAAATGAGAAATGGACAAGGTGCAGACATTTATAAGTTATAACAAGTTATATTTGCAAGAAGAAATATCTTACATAGGGGACTTGTAACTAATGAGTTAGATCCAGAAGCCCTAAGGCTTGCAGATACTGTGCCCCCTGGAGAGCTCTTTGGGGCATTAGATGTTCCAATTGATGCAGGAGTTGGAAGGCTATTTCGGTTTGGTGGAGATAGAAGTTGAGCTGACCGAGGCAGCTGATCTTCATCCATTGATGTGTAAGATTCAATTCCAACAGAATGTGGTGACCTTAGAGACACCAAATCTTGCTCAGACCTGGAAGCTGTCAATTTCTTCATAGTTTGACTTCTTCCAGGAAATGGGGATAACGAACTGGTGGATCCCGACTGTACTATCCCCTTGTAAATTGAAACATTATTTTGCAATATCTGCACTCCCCCTTCCCATTTAGGAGATGATGTTCCAACTTTTGAACTATGCAAATTTGTAGACCCCGGAACAAAATGTGAAGCAGGAGAACTGGCAAATCTATAAGGGGATTTGCACCAGTCGTAGAAGGAAGAGCTTTCTCTAGTTCAAACACTTCATCAACAATGGATGAGAAATTAGAAGAAACACAAGAAATAGACATAGAACCTTCCAAGCTAAATTTATTAAGATTACTGCTTTCAATTTGTTGGGTAGTATTATCACGTAAAGATGACAACAATTTCCTGTAGTCAAGAAGACTCAAATTCAGTACATCCTCACAAATCTGCATCTGACCAACATCAACACTTTTGGAACGGACAAAGTTGGTTAAATCACCAAATGATTGAGCTTTTCCTGAAGAATCTGACTGAATTTCTAGTAACTTGAAAAGTGGTTTGAAATCCTTGTCAAGTTGCATTAGCAAATAATAACAGCTACCACATTCCGGGAATCTCATAAGCAACAAGTTTGAACCACTGGCAATATTCTTTGGCAGCTTCAATGATGCTAAACCATGTTCAAAAACCTGCAGGAGTATACATTATATACTTAGTCAGCCATCTATCAAGAAGAGAATGACAAGCATTGCTACACTATTGGTAAAAATTACAAGCTCAGTTAAATCGTCTAAGGATAACAACTAACAATGAGGCTAGGTCAGACAGTCAGTGACTGACTGGCCTATGACCTCTAATATTAAAAAGTACTAGTATTTAGTATACACCCAATCAGAGATCAATCAGGAAATTAAGTTGAGTAGAATCACTAGGAAGGATAAATCCTGTCAGACAGAACAAAAAGACCTTTTAATTTCTCTACAATCACCCACAAAATGCATATAGTAGGTATGATAACCATTAAAACACAGTAAGCAGGAGATGATGATTTAACAAAAAGCATATAAATAATAACAATAATTATCCTAATTCAGCATGAAATACCAAGATTTATTGCTACAAAAATTAGAAATGGATTAATGAAACCATTAAAACTTCATTCAGCTTTAGAAAAAGAATTTTCTTAATGCACTTAGTATAACTTCAAAAAGAGTAAATGCATATGGAAATGGTGTCTGACACTTACAAAATAACAACAGCACCCCTTCTGGTCTTAATACATTTAGATAAGGATACCATTTTTCAAACAACTGTTAAAAAAAATATTATTAAAACAAAAAAGAAGAAGACTTTTTTCCTGAACAGCATAGCTTGTTTATTACTATATCTGTCAGGTCTAAGATGCACTTGAACAGTAAAACCAAGAAATTAATCATCCATGAACCAATCAGAAGAGTCATTCTACATCTACACAAGAAAAATCCCCACTGCTTTGTCCCCATTGACCCAAAGCTGATTAAGGAAGAAATGTTTTGCCAGGAAAGTGAATTAACATGCCACTTGCAATTGGTTCAGTGAATATGAGTTGACTCAATTTGTTTGCAAGTCATTCTAACATTAATTAATTAATTGTTTATGACTTGTTTACAAGTCATTTTTAACATGAATGGTGAAAATTTGTACATATATACCTCAAGGCCTAAGAACCTTCCAACACAAGCAAACAAGTGTAATAAGCTTTTGCTTCTCAGGCTTATAAAAGCATCAGCTGCAGTCATAGTCCCCTGGTTTAGGGCATCTTCATGCTCAATTAGTGTTGATGATGATATAATATTCTTGGATGACTGAAGAATGAAGCGTCCAATCCTAAATGCCAAAGGAAAAAACATATGTTAAGTCTCTGAAACACAAAGTAAGAAATCAAGCTTTAGGTGAACCCCTATAGAAAAGTGCAGAACAACTTGCTACATTAAGTTTTGGGTGCAGCCTCATAGTAAAGTGCAGAGGCCAGAGAGACATTTGCTTGCAAGCCATTGCATGCATTGCTACATTTATCTCAAAAATATATTTTAGCTTACACCAATCTTATGCAGTTTGTCAGAAATACATAATTTCTTGCGACTAACTTGACTAAGACCCAATCCCAATAAACTGGAGTTGGTTATATCAACTACATTTCTCCAACTTCAACATTAATGCTCCTACACTAGCATGACTTTCTAAACAAGAGTTATTCTCATAGTTTTGCGCATTTTTTTCTACCCCTTTCTTGCCATCTACAACTACAGTAATATTTCTAATGATTGGGGAGTCCATAAGCCTATATAGAGCATGTTGGAACCATCTTAATCTATTCTTTGTCAATTCATCTTAAACCAGTGCCACTTGCACAATTTCCAATATGATCCTTTCCAGCATTTCCCACACATTTATTTTAGCAATCTTAGCATTCTCATGTCTGCTATGGCCCATTGACCCTTTTGTGGGCATTTTGCTTTGAAGTCAAGCACACTCATTTATTGGCCAATATTTCTATCAATCTTCAAGATCTTTATGGTCACATCAAATTCTAGTCAGAATACACCATTCACCAACTAACCATTCTATGATTTGCAAAAATTCTCCCTTTGTTTCTACATTTTCCCTTACCCATTGAAGTAGTAATGTATCATAATAATACAGAATAGGCTCAAACCACATGGTTTGAAGTATCCTTGAACCGAAGAGGCTCATGCCAGCATTCAAGCATAAGAAGGGCAATACTTGTCAAATCACTTAGCATTCACATAGTGATTAATTTCACATGACGAGCGACATATTTAAGAATAACATAAATTTGAAAGAATAAAAATTAAATTGGAAAACCTTATATTTATTCCAAGGGTGAAGAACGAAGAGCCATAGGCACGTACAAGCAAGACTTCTTGACCTTCATCTTTTCCAAGGTCAAGCTTGTTATCCCTCTGCAAACAAGAAACAGTTAAGCAAAAAAGCATTTGAGACAATTAGATTACTAGTAAACTGTCAGACCAAAGAAACTATTGATGTTATGTCAATAGCAAGAGTTCTGTAAATGAAACATCACACTATTCTGTAATTTTTAATTCAAAATGAATTTGAAGCTCAAGTGCTTGAGAATTGTTGTGGAGATTCACTAGAGAAGAGGGGATGCTTTGGGGAAGGTTGATTGTGGCAAAATATGGCAATGATGAAGGTGAACATTAAAGACTTTCCCTCAGGCATATTCAGTTTGAATTTGAAATGTGCAAAGGTTTAAGATTCTGGCACAATACTGGGTGCTCCCACCTACTGCTTAAACTATCTTTCACTAATCTCTACACAATTGCCAATGACAGAAGAAAAACTGAGTTCCCAATTCATTAATTCGAAAGGAGATATGTTCTGGAACATTCAATTTTTATAGATTCAAAGAATTAGAAAATGGGAACTTTTGCTAATGTCACATCCTTTGCAATACATATACTAACAGTGGGGGTTTTGACAAGTCACTTTGGACTTGAACCAAAGATAAGATCTTCTCAGACATCATTCTATCATCATGCTCTGAACTAAACTGCACCAAAGGATTTCCCTAGGAACAAGATTAGGAAAGCTAACTGTTCTACTAAAGTTTCTTTTGTCAAATGGGAAGGCCTCAAAGATGAAGAAACTTTGAACCGTCTGCACATTCATTGTGAATGGACAACAACATTCTAGAACACAATCATATCTTTACAGAAAATTCACTAGGTCATGCCCTCAAGCATCCATGAGTTGCTAAAGGACATTGTTACAAAGAACGAAGAATGAAACAGAAATTTTACAACTTCAATGAAAAGAAAAATACCAAACCATAGATCAGTTACAATAAAAGTACAGAGAATTTTTCTATTAAATGAAAAATGATTTATGAACATTGTAAGAGTTTTGAAAGGTTCCAAATTGTTTCAAAAGTCAAACAAAAAAAACTATACAATTGTCCTATGGTATACTTAAATTAACAAAGGAATTAACTTCAAAACACATGAGCAGTTTTCAAGAACTTTTAGCAAATAATTGGAATTCTAAAAATCACAAAGTACTAAGCCTTTACAGGCATGTAATTCAATTTGTATTTTCAACTTTTAAGGCGTCCATAGGGTCATAGACTAGAGACATATTGAAATTAGTCAAATGTAAAATAAGAAAAGACCGAATACCAGCCATAAGATACCAATAGGCGATAGAGTTCACACAATCTTTTCTAAGCTGAACATTTTTTTATTTAAAATAAAATGATGCAGAATGCTTTTTGAAAAAAATAAAAAAAAATAAAAAAATAAAAACAAAAAACACACACTAGGGTGTGCAGGAATACAGTCAATACACTGACAATTCTATGTGAAGTAGCTCAAACAACCATGCACTCCTCAAAATATAGAATAAGATGTTATTAGATCTTTAAATGGCCTTCTTGTGCACTGCACCAAGAGGACTTTTCTAGGTCAAACCCTAGAAGTCTAGAACTTTTGCAAAGTTGAAGGAAAACCTAAGCTTCTCACCCTTTTTAATCACAGACAATTGAAGCAGTTCAGATAGTTCTCAAGTCACAACCCAAAGAAGTATACCCCTCCCAACATTTCCCATACTTCCCCAAGAGAGTCCTAATACCCTGGCATATGGTTGACAAGTTCACTTAAATATTCAGTCAAATAATAGTTCAAAGCCTCAAAGGGCAAGACTTAAGCTTGGAGCTTATTCCAATAAAGTATAATATGAAATTACTAACCATTTTGTATTCAGCTTGAGTTTCACCCTGGCAATTAAGTTGAACATCTCCTGGAGCTCGACAGACCTGAGTATTTTTCTCCAGTTCTTTATAAATTTCAAGTAAGCGAGTATATCTGTTACAGCAGATTGCTCTGAGTAGCAACTTCTCAACGTCGATGCAACTTTGATCAAGGAAAAATTCTGCTTCCTTTCCAGTCATCGGATCAATTACAAATGAGGTATGGAGACACTTTATTTGCAGGTCTGGACCTGGTTCAATTTTTATATATGGGCAAGATCCCATGTCAGATGTACTGGAGCTTTTATCTAACTCCAGCCAATACAAAATTTTTAAGCCAGGAGTACGTAAACCAGTGAAATCAGTTTCTCCGTCTTGATTCATTTGCATGGAGCCAGCACTCCCTCCTTGTCCGACAGTACCATCAGATATGAGCTCAAATCGAATTGCATCTTTCCATCTCCCTTGCCTAAGTGTTTGTACCTGCCTTATAACTGTGTCCATAACAAGTGCAACACACAGTTCATGCAGAATAGAGTACAACGTCATGAATGGATGCTCTGCAGTGGTCATTCTCCGTTCAAGATCATCTCCAAGAGCATGTCTACGCGATTCTTCAAGCTTCATCATACCACTTCTCTCACCAACAAGAAGCTCTAGATGCAATATCCTCCACATTGACAAGTGTCCTCTATAACCAAGAGTAACTAGAACCTTAAATTCCCCATCCACACGGAGCAAAACAGTACCATCAGAAACCTTTACTTCTGTAATTTCCTTGGGGAGTGAAACTTCAAGGAGTTTAGACCTAACAAGTGCATCTAGCTTCTTTAGAGCTGATTTTTGCTGATCATCATTTAATGTGCTTTGCATGCCCACATCTTCTATACATTTTGGCAAACGCAGGTAAGATCCAGTAAGAAGAATTTCAATAGCAGAAGGAACATCATAGATGGGAGCACGAGCTTGTTGTAGCCCTTCATGCATGAAAAACAATGAATCTGCAGCTTGAGTGAAACATGTATCATGACTTGATAATGTTGATGCAAGTTGTTGACAGTACTGAATCAAGGGGACCTGCACAATAAACAAAAGGAATTTGAAGAAGAAATTCATTAGAATCCTAAAAGTGGCTAAAACTAAGACCTGCTTATTCAAACGAACCATGAAGTATGAGCCAAAATCAAAATATTTCAACTACAGCAAATGAGATAATAAAAACTGAATTGCCTTTCTACAACTCCTATTCTCAGAAATGTTTCTTTGGTGTAGGAAAGTGGAGTGTAAAATGTATTCAAAAAATAAATAAAAATTACAGATTATATTCCTATTTTCCATTTGTATTATGCATTTTGTGTTACTCTCCAGCCTCCTAAATCATCCAGGAATACAGTATAAAATTCTCAGATCTTGACCAACTGATACACACTTCACTCACATGTTTACAACCCCAACAAATAATAAATCACCTAATAAATTTTCCTGTTCTCATAAGCATTAATTAGATGATCAAGTAGAAGGTGTGTTAAGGCAGAATTAAGTTTATACATCTTGTAGCCAGTACTGCACAAGGTTTATTGCAGATAATTACCCTGAACAATTATCTGCGGTTAAGGGTTCTAAAGTTACTCCCTCTGCTTAATTGGCCTGCTTTTTTTTTTTTAAACGCTTAATTGGTCTGCTAAACAACTCGCAGTGAACATAGCCTTTCAAGGCAAAAAAGAAAGGAAGGAAGTGGAAAAAACGCCAAACAGATAAGGAACTCCATCTAGAATTTCAAAAAAAAAAAAAAAAAAAAACACAAATCTGAATAACAAAACCCAATAATTCAGTTTGAAATCATTCTTCCTGTACAATAAAAACTACATAGATTTATATAACATATAAAAACAAATTTGTAAGGCATCCCAAATTCCTTAACTGGAACTAATTTTTTTCATGCAACTTCAATATCACCATTTCACATACAGAGGTCCAAGCCCTTAAACTTTCTGCCTCAAACAATTCCAAAATTAACTTCCTACATTTTTCACATGCTCTAAATTCTCTGAGAATAGATTTTGCAGACTTATAGTTTTCTAGACATAAAAATAACAGGTATACGCAATAACTAGAACCCACTAAACAACAATGTTATAAGTTAGGGTCTTATTTATGCAAGTTGGAGGGGCAGAAAATTAAATATAAAGATGTATGCAATACACGCTTTTAAAATTAAAATTCAATTGGGCTCAATTGATGGACTCATGCATATTATGGATTTATTTCAAATATTTTCTATTTTTGTCCTTTTAGTCATTCCAGTTTCCTTCCAATTTTAGTTGTTCAATCTTTGTTTTTCTACATCTGCTGACATTAGTGTGTTCTAAGCATTTCTCTCTCATCATGTATATGTTATTGCTCTTGCATTTTGTGATGTTTATCCAGAAGAATGATACCCGTTTCAATCCATTGAAGCTTCTTCTTCAGCGTGTTTCTAGATATCTACATGAAACCCAGCTCACCCTATCTTTCTATTATCAATATTCCAAATCAATTCATTCATATTCAATTCCCTCTATTTTCACTGTAATCAAATCATTCAAATGCTGATTTGAAAATGAAACCGAAAAGGGAAAAGAAGGGGTAATTGAAAACCAATCTTACGAGAGCAACACCACAACCACCTATCAAAATAACCTGACCTTTCTAAACTCAGTTCACCACCTTTCAATCAATATCCTACTTCTCCACCACCAATATTCCTTATCAAACCATTTTGTATTCAATTCTCTCCATTTTAACTGTAATCAAACAATTCAAAAGCTGATTTGAAAATGAAAGAGAATGGAAAAAAATAAGCAAATGAAAACCAGTCCTACAAGTACAATTCCACAATTGCCTATCAAAATGACTAAATGACCCAAACTTTCTAAACTCAGTTAACCTCCTTTCAATCAATATCCTAGTTTCACACGCTTCTTCATTGGCAAGTTCTTTCTTGAATCTTGATAGACTCTATCTCATAGTCAACAAAACCGCAGAAGATTCGCAAAATACGAGCATCAACGATACCGAGAGTAACACTAACCTGTTGACACCACTTGGCGAGGACATTGAGGCGAAGCATGCGCTGTTGGGTCTTGACGAGGTACTGGAGAATCCCAATCTTCTTGTCGGAATCGGAGAGGTCAGCGGACCTGGACTTCTCCACCAGCTCCTTGAGCGAGACGTACGACTCCTCCGACGCCCGGCTCACCAGCGTGGAGAACTCCACCGTCTTTTGCCCTAATTCCGCCGCCATTATTCAATAATCCCTCCGCTCCCCACAAACCCAATTCTTCCTCGCCGCTCGCTCGATCTAGCTACTCGGTCGAATCATAGAGGTTAGGGCTTCGAGATTCCGCAACCGGAGAAAAGCAGATACTCCGGTGCAGTGTATTGCAGTAGTATTAGCTGAAGAATCTTCGGTTATGGCTGCTGCGTCGAAACTCCCAAGTCTCGAACGAATTTGTCAAAAGAGAGAAAGAGGAGGGAGAGAGGGTTAAATATATACCCGGGTAACTTTACCGGAGTAATCTTCTTGGACAAGCTTTAAAATAAATAAGTCAAATTTCTATATTAGAAGACACTTTTAACCTACTCTCATCAAAAATGATAAATTTAGTAAATCTCTAAGTCACTTGGAAAAAAGAATCATATATTCTTTATATGTAGGGTTTACTTTGATATCTATAATTAAATTCTCATTGATTCTAATTTTTTAAAGTCAAATATTACACCAAAAATAAAAATTATTTTTCAACATTTTAAATTCTAAAAAAAAAAATTTGAATTTTTTTAAACTATTATCATCGTTATAATTTACCGCGATACTAAAGTGACTCATTTAAAAGAAAAAAAAATCTATATTGCTGCTTTTTTGCAATTCTGACAATGCAGAATTACAAAATTTATAATTTTGCTATCATAAATGCAAAGTCCCTTTTTGGGCAGTATATATTTTATTATTATTATTAATTTTGCTATCTGAAATGCAATTTTGACAATGCAGAATTGCAAAATATTTGTTATAAGGTGATGCAATAGTGAGATCATTTTTTAAAGAGGAGATGAAATTGCATTGATAGAGAGTAAATAGTGAATAATTACAAATTTAATGATATGATATTTTGAAAGTCAGAGAAAATTGCAAAAGTGTTGATAGCCTTAGCTACCAAACATCCTCTTAGAGCATCCACATCGGTGGATTATACTTAGATTTGGGAACAGTAGAAAAAACTAGGCAACGATTTTTACTGATATAGAGTGAAGTTTTTTGGCAAAAATTTCTCCTGCAAATTAAGTGATTTTTGCGGGTCCATATATTAACTGTTGAAGTAAAGCCTTACCTCTGTCTACGCGTGCGGGAAACGAAGCACGCCCAGCGAGGCGCGTGCATGATGGGCGCGTTACAAGCGCTGACAATTAGTTTTTTTTTTTTTTTTTTTTTTTATAAAAAAAGAATCGAATTTGTTTATTCTTTTTTTTTCTCTTCTTCCCATATTCTATTTCCTAATCACACTTACAAAAACTCCTCAAAAATCACCAAAAAAAAAAAAAAAAAACATAACTATTACGGATGCTCTTAAGAGAACTTGGTACTTTTTATAATAATTAAGAGATGAAAAAATTATTTTGTAATAATTGAGAGATGAAAAAGTCATTTTACAAATAATTAAGGAATAAGCAATGATATTATAATTGAGAGACGAATATTATTAATTCTCTGTAACTCAATGACGAAAAGAGTCATTTCTTCATTTGTTAATATGAGTACAAAAATGATAATACATGAATATTAGTATGGTTGAATTGGCTCAAGTTTAGTAAGGAGTAATTGTTTTAGAAAAATATAAGTTTAAAAGGTTAAACAAAAAATTGTCTGAATACAATTCGAAAGTCAGAAGAAATAAAAATGTTTGAATATAATGTTTTCAATTTAAATTGTGACAAATTTTAGTATCTAATAGTCATTAGTCAATACAAATTAAGTTAAATTGATTTTATGATGAGTAGTAAATTATTAATGAAATTAATAGCCTAGACTACAATGATGTTGAAATGACCAAAATTTTAATTTTGATCCTTTAATTGTAGTAATATTTTTAAATTTAGCCATTATTTTTGAAAATTTTCTAATTGTAATCTGTTATTTTTGAGGAAGTATTTAATTCAACCATCTAGATAAGTTAAAAGGTATATATATGTAAGATAAATTTCACTTTTGGTCTTATACGACTATTGGGGCCGGGTATTGTTAATTGAAGTCAACAAGTTTTAAAATTGTTAATTTGAGTAAATTACATTTTTGATCATATGACTATTGAGGTGTTGTTAATTTCAATCCATAAGTTTCAAAACTATCAATTTGGTACCACAACTATTTAATTTTTCTCAATTTCAGTCCTTTCGGCAAAATTATCGGAGAAAAGTGGCCTGAAAATTTTAATGAGTAAAATAATGAGGGTGATTTTGTCTTTTCACCTTCTCTTCTTGTTCTTCCCCGTCTCCGATCACTGGGTACCACTGGGTCTGACTGCTGCAATCAAGAATCTATCGCCGAAATTTCCCAATTCAAAATCAAGCAACAGATTTATCGGCAACAAAATTTTCCAGTAATTAATCAAGCAACAAGCTCAAATTTCACAATTCAAAATCAAGCAACAGATTTTTTTCAGAAATTAATCCAGTAGTTATGATCACGAAAGAAGCAGAATGGAAGGATTTATCGGAAATATAGGAGAAATTTGCCTTGGTTGGCAGATTTGCGAAGGAAAGGCCGACAATTGATGCAATTAAGTTGAGATTTCAGGCGATTGATGCGATTAGGTTGAGATTTCAGGAGATTAGTAGAGATTATTGGAAGGGAGGAAGTGCAGAGGGAAGAAGATTACTCTTGTGAAATCTGAGATTCGTCAACTATGCATGGTTGCCAAGTATGTCTTCCTCACCCAACCTAACCTCTTAGAACTCAAAGCCCCCATTAATGTTTGCGGTGAGACTCTGACAATACAGATTTCATACATTTATTGGTAAAATAAAAAATTTACAAATTGAATTTTTAGTTGATAAATTAATTTGATTTTTGCAATTGGTGTAACAATAATGAGTGTTGATTTGCTGAACCACTCCTGCCGGGAACACGAACACGTCGCCCTTCTGAAGGCTTCTAGCGAAGAGACGGTGCTCAGTGTCGGACGTCACAAATGCAACCACAAAAATCCCTTGTACTACTTCGCGAAGAAATAGTGAAGAAAGGAAAGAGAAGAAGGTGTAATGACATAATTGCCCTCATGATTTAAGTGATTAAAATTTTTTGATCACTTTTCGCCGGCAATTTGACCGGAGGGACTGAAATTGAGAAAAATTGAATAGTCACGGTACTAAATTGACAATTTTGAAACTCATGGATTGAAATTAATAACACCCCAATAGTCATAGGACCAAAAGTGTAATTTATTCTTGTTAATTTGAATCAACAACTATTCAATTCTCTCAATTGCAGTCCTTCCAGACAAATTGTCGGTAAAAGTAACCATAAATTTGTAATGAGTAAAACGATGAGGATAAATTTGTCTTTTGCTTCTTCACATCTCTTTCTTTTTTCATTTTCTTGCTCTAAGTAGGATATTTTCAACATAGCACTCTCCACTAGTGGTGGTGGTGGTCGTCCCAAAAGAGGTAAGGTGAAAGTCTAGAGGGGGGGGGGGGTGAATAGACTTTCAAACTTTTTCGCATAGCACAACAATTGCTAAGCCAGAGATAAACTAAAACTCTTAACTAGATTGTTAGAGTATGGTGCACAGCGGAAATAAATAAACATAAAGTGTGTGTGAGATTGTGTGAGCAGTATATCTCGTGTAGAGCGAATATGTAAAGAGCAGTAAGTAAAGAAAGCAGTAAAGAACACAAGACAATTATAGTGGTTCGCGAGGTGGTGTAATCCTCCTACTCCACTTGCTCTTTTCTCCAAGAGCAATTCACTATATCTACCACTCCTTAGTTCCAAGATACAATGAATTTCCGTGATCTAGTGCTTTGATCACAAAGCCCGCACTAATCACGCCCAGTGACACCACACTGCTACTTCGGGTTTCACGTCGCCGCGCTACTATCCCAGGATTTCACGACTCCGCGTTACTTTCCCCCCGTCTTCCACACTCCGGTAGAAACGTATCCCGTGATCTAGTGCTTTGATCACAAAGCCCGCACTAATCACGTCCAGTGCCTCCGACACTGCTGCTTCGGATCTCACAGCTTCGTGTGACAATCCAGGATTTCACAGCTCCGTGCTACTTTCCTCCCTTCTCTTGTTTTGCTCCAAAACAAGTGTTGTCTTGCTTCCAACTTCTGAGACTCTGTAGATGATCTTCAATGATGCGCAGGTCTCTTTGATGAAGATAAGCACTCTGGAATGATTTCTTGATAGCTCTGAGTGTTTTCTCTCTTTGAATATATCAAGTAAAGCACTTGATATTTTTGCTCTGTTTTGCTCTGTTTAAGAACTCTCAGAATATTTTCTTTTGAAGCTCTCTGAGTTATTTTTCTTTTCTCACTTCTCACTTGAAGATTTTTGGTATGCTCTGTACCAAAAGAGATTTTTGCTCTATGCTCTTTTAAGCTTAATTGCTCTATTCGATCTCCTTGATGAGTTCGTATTTTCTGCTTTCTAGTTCGTTGTATGCTCTTCTGCTCTTCAAGTCTTCATATCTTCATCATTTTATAGCTGGTAATGAGAATCTGTCCGTTGGAAAGAGACGCTCTCATTTTTGAAATCTTGTATCTTTTTGTCAGAGATCTTATCTTATCTTCTTCAAAGATGTCAGAAAGGATAAGCTAGCCGTTTGAGAGCTTGAACTTCATGCGAATGGTTTCCCAAACTTCATCTGATATTCCTCTGGTTTTACGTTGAGTGGAAATATCTGGGTGTAGAACGGCTTCTCTGATTAGCTCTGAAGTGGTCCTTGTATCTTTGGGATTTTAAAAATATTCTTCAATTTAATCCCATACTAGTTAAACTAGTATTTTTCCTTGTGAGAAATTCTTTACTGTAAGTTCATCTTCATCTTCTTCATTCTCACGTCTGGGTGTTCTCAGACTTCAAACTGGTTGTGAACAGAACTTCAAACTGGTTGTGAACTTCCTCCCAAATTGAATTTCTCCTTTGTAATTGACACCCAATTGCAATTGACTTGTAATTGGCACCCATTTTGAATTTCTCCTTTGTAATTGGCTCCCAATCTACTCCTGGTGCTTTCTGGTGCTTTCCTTTGCAATTGGCTCCTTTGTAATTGGCTCCCAATTGACTTTGACTTGTAATTGGCTCCCAATCTACTCCTGGTGCTTTCAATTGCTTCCCAATTTGGTAATTGGCTCCCAATTGACTTTGACTTGTAATTGGCTTCCAATCTACTCCTGGTGCTTTCAATTGCTTCTCAATTTGAATTATTGACTTTGACTTCGAAATTGGCTCCCAGACTTCTCCTGGTATTGAATTTCATCT